ATTTTTAAACCTTCAAAAACGACAATTTCCCGCATTTTGAGAGGCAAATCATGGTGTTGAGAGTGTTTGTCGGTCCTTCTGATGTTTTCATATTTTACTCAAGTATTTTTAATTTGCCTGTCAAGGTTGACGGATTCGTTAAAAAAATTCTGTAACTCTCCGCAAACTTCCGGAAATTTGAAGGGAAGACTGGTTCTGGCTAGAGCCAAAGGGACCGAGCGCAGAAGCGCGAGTCGAGCGCCAGAGGCGCGAGCAATGTAGGGGGTCCGGGGGCATTTTCCCCCGGGAAATTTTGTATTTTTGAACCTTCAATGACGCATTTTCCTGCACTTTGAAAGGCAAAATTAGGCGTAACGAAGAATTATTCATTAACGCTTAACGCTGAATTTAGGATGACAAATAACGTTTACGTTGAATTAAAACGACCAATAACGCTTCACGAGGAATATACTGATAACGCTTAACGTTGAATTAGAGCGGGCCGGCAACGATTAACGGTAAATTAAAATAGCCCATAACGGTTAACGAAAAAGGGCATGCAGACCCTCTTACAAAGCTATAACTATTACCGTTAACGTTATATATATATGATGTAAGAATAGGCATTATTGGTTTCAGAAGGTTGTAATATGGGGGCTTGTGTAGTTGCAGAAAGTGTTTCCAAATTGCAGGACGAAATTTTGACTCTTCTGCAATATTGCAGAGCACTGAAAAAAAGTATTTCGACCACTGTACTGATAAAATAAGAGATTCATGAACTATTTGGTGCCATATAGGTTATTGCTCACTTACATGTAAAATTGGTACATACGCCTTATAGAAGTATGTGTGTACCAGAACTTGCGTGTATCTATTAGGTATATTCATCAAATTTAATTGTGAAAATACATGTATTCCAATCTTGAATGTACAACAAAAGTCAACTAACACATCTCATCACATTCTATCAAATACTTGATACTTTCTTAGAGTCCCTTTAAGACACCCTGGAGTACAGCATGCCTATAGGATAACCAATATAACTCACACCAGCTTCTCCAGTGTTGGGTGTTCCTCAGCAGCCTGCACCACAGCCTGGAACCCTGCAGGCTCCATGGAGATGTTCCACAGGTCCAGCTGCTCCAGGGCAGGGAGTCTGGGTAGAGCCTCGGCCAGATCCATGGCAGCAGTGTCAGACAGGTGTGCAGGTGTGTCCTGGTGACCAGACATGTCAAGCCTGGTCAGTGCCGGCAGTGTGCTGATGACCTGTGCGACCCTCCCCAGTCCGGCTCCTGTTACTCCCTCATTCCCCCCGATGTGCAGCTCCTGTAGTGTGGTCAGACTCTTGTCACCATGTGGGTTTTGTTCCATGTCCAAACTGCTGGGCTGGCAGAGTGTTTGCACCAGTGAGACAATCCCTGAGTCTCCTATGTTATTCCACCTCACATCCAACACCTGTAATTGCACCAGGTGAGGCAGAGCTTTGATCAGGGATGATATTCCCTTGTCACTGATATCTGTCACACTGAGAACCAACACCTTCATGGCTGTGAGGTGGTGGAGGATAGCAGCCAGGCATTCCAGCCCGGGGTCTCCTATGTCATTAATACTAATGTCCAGTTTGATCAGTCTGGTTAACTTACACAGTACAGGGACCAGTGTGCGCATGCCTGTGGGGCTGATACCGGTGGCACACAGGCCCAACACCTGCATGGCAGTGAAGGTGTGGAGGACGGTGGTGAGAGATTCCAGCCCAGTGTCACCGATCTTATTATAACTTATATCCAGTTCTCTCAGTCCCACTAGGTGGCGCATGTAGGGAGCCAGGGATGACATGCCCACAGCTGTCATGTTGACTAACCTAAAACGGAGTACAGCCAGGTGTGGAACACTGGACAGCCCAACCTGTAGGACTTCCATCCCAGCATCACCAAGGGCACTGTTCCCAGAAAGATACAGCTCCTCTAACAGAGACATGTGCCTGAACCCCTGCACAAGTGGCTGGAGTGATGATGGTGTTAGTTTTGTGAGTGACAGATCCAGCACCCTCAGACAAGGAACATTCTTCAGAACTGAAACCAGCCTGGCTGTCAGATCAGGTGAGTCAAACTGTCCTGATAGTTTCAAGTCCAATTTAAGTCCAGGGAGTGAAGTTGTAAAACACTGCTGTAGGTACTGAACTATGTCTCTGCTGTCAGTGCCTCCATGGATCTTAAGTATGAGCCTGTCTGGCAGGTTTGCTGAATGAAGATTTTGTATGTAATACTTAAGAGCTGTGGCTTCTCTACTGTTAATGGAGTTGTCCAGTATGACACTTGGCAGGGCTTGACTGATACCCTGAAGTACTTCTGGTTCTTGTCTCTCACTAAGGATGTTCAGGCACAAGTGTGCAAACCTTCTATAGGTTTGGCAGGACTTTTGCACATCTGGATCTTTTGGCACATTTGAACTTTCAAACTGTTCAGGTTTCAAGTGTGTGAACTCCCTGCTGCTGAGCTTGCTTAGTTCCTCCATCACAGCTTGTGCTGCCTGTGAGCCACAGCCACATGTGAACTGAAGCAGGTTACTGAGTTCAAGTGCCTTGCTTATGGAGGTGAGCTGCAGCAGCTCAACAATGTCTTGCTTCACTTGAGCATGAGCTACATATCGTCCGGCCAGGAACTCTTGCATAGTCTTGTGTGAAAAGTTCAGCTGTTTCCTAGGATGCAGTTTAGAGGAAGAAACCTCCAAGGAGACCACACCCAGCTTTAAAAGTAACTCCCAATTAACCTTTTCTCTCTTTACTTCTGTAACGTCAAGCAGGGTCTCATTCCTCAGCAGTGCCTCTAGTGCAAGCTTGCCGAGCTGCAGTAATGACTCAGCAACCTCTGTAGGCAGCCCTTCTGTTGGCATGTCCACTCCTTGCCGCTTACAGCACTTTCTGACCAGACATGTCAGCAGGTTGTCGTACAGCCCCATCATTGTTCCAGTAGACACCATCTCTTGGTCCTCCTCCCACAACAGACACACAAACATCAGGAACATTGGTGTATAGATTAAAGTGTTCAAAAGTTGATTACCTTTGACATGTAGAGTAAGTGTCTTTGTCAGTTCTTGCTTCCCAACAACAGTGAAATACTGCTGCATGTATTTCTCCACATGTCTACGGGAGAAGCCCATGATGTGTACATGACCGTCTGGCCGGGTGTACTGCTGCACTCCTGCTGAGGGTCGGGAGGTGATCACAATCGTGCTGTTGGGGTACATCTTGCCAGACAGCAGTTTGGGAATGGCCTGCCCGGCTGCCCTGGCCTCAGGCCGCAGCTCATCATACCCATCTAGGAGGAAGACAACATGGGACTTGTTCCTCTGTAGGATTGTTCTAATGGACTGTGCTTCAATACCTTCAGTTGTTTCAGGAACACACTGGTCCCACACCATCTCCTCTATGGTCTCCCCCTCTCTCACCTCCCGGAGTCGGATCAACAGGACGATGTTGTGCCGTCTGCCCAGCTCTGTTTTCTGTGAGACAGCATCTAGGGCTTCCTTGGACAGAAACGTTGTCTTCCCCCCTCCAGCTTCACCCTCAATCAGAATGCACCTTGGTGCTGTGGACAGTCCTGTGACATCTGGCTTGAACAAGTCGTCTAATGACTTAAGTTCTTTTCTTTGTTCTTCCTTCATTGATTCTGACCATTTCTGTTTCTCAGATGTTTTAAAGTTTCTTTCACTTGTTGGTATCAACTCTAACTGGGTGAAGATGTCGCTGAGGCTAAGTGTGAAGTTGTCATTCCAGATCAGAGGCTTGAAGTGAGTCAGTTTCAACTCATAGCGCCTCTTCACAGACTTCTGGAACAAATCTGATTCTGAAATAGAAATAAACTCTTGTAAGCTTTGAAACTCCATTTTAGTGGAAACAAAACTTATCATTGAATCACAAATCATTACGAATATCAGAGAAAAACTGCCAGCTTGATCTCAGTACTTATGAAGCTCACCAGGACTACTCTTAGAGTCTTACTACTCCAAAGTGATGGTAGAAGACTAAAATAAAACACTTCTACATATTTCTTACATCATTTTGGTCCAACTTGGTTCAAGGTTACTGAGATATAGGAGGTCAGTCCCAACTTATTGGAGGGCATTATGACTATAAGACTATTTTACCATACATAGAGTAAACCTCTCACCCGACTGTCTGGAAGGAGTTGCTTTTGCTTTTTTCTTCACTGTAAATCGTCTCTTTCTCTTCCTCTTCCGCTGGCTACTAGATGGTTTGGGTGAACCTGTCTCAGAGAGGTGGATTCAGGTGTCAGTAATGATGTCAACTCAGCTTATGCAGTGACACTGCTATCACGTGTACAGTAGTTTTGACAGGACGAAGGGGTTATGCTGAATATGTCATTTCCACATTTCCTGATGTTTGTAACTGACTGATGAAGTTTCAAGGTGGAGCATTTTAACATGAAGAAAAGCATTATGTTTCCATCTATCAGGATGAGGGGTTGGGCATAATGTCCAAACCTTACTCCCAGCGACTGTGAAATTCATCAGTTATATATAGTTGCAAATTCCACAGACAGCTACAGCAGTTATCGAGTCAGACAAATTCCCACGGTCGCGGAACTCACAACAAAGTCCCTTAGCCCTTGAGCCTTATTGATGAATTATACATGTTAGCGCAGTGATGGCCACTATAGTTTGAACCACATCAAACCCTGTAGTTTGAAGCATGCACTTCGATTGGCCATCATTATACATGTACAAGAAATTTTCATTCAGACGGCATTCCGGCTCACTCCCCCAATTCCCCATCCTGCCTGGTGACTCCTGCTAATTCGGGATAAGTGTGAGAGGGCCTTTAAAGATCGTAATACTACATATATCCAATACATTTATCAAAGTACATTAGTAGAATGCAGGGTACTCACTTGTCCTCTGTGTCTCTGTTCTTGCCACACTGTTCACCCCACCACAGACAGTAACAACACTGATGGTGTACAGGGTTGCTGCTGTTAAAGTGCTGAAGATGTGTTCCAGTGGGTTTCTGGGGTTCACACTTCCAGTGGAGTTAGTGACACCAGTGACAGGACTGATGCTGATCCTGTAGCTGTCTTTGGGGCCAGCTGCTTCTGTCCAGGTGACCCTGATGCTGTTTTCTGTTACTTCAGCAATGGTGATGGGGCCAGGCTGGGCTACAGCTGGAGGCATTGTAATGATGGAATCAGTAACATTTCAGCATCATTAAAACTTGAGTGGCACTGTCTGATATCGAAAGAATAATTCAGCTGTAAAAATCATACAGCATCTATGAATCTAGCCATGTACAATACAGGGTACTCACTTGTCCTCTGTGTCTTTGTTCTTGCCACACTGCTCACCCCACAACTGACAGTTACAACACTGACGGTGTACTCAGTTCCTGCTGTCAGACCAGTGAAGGTGTGTTCCAGTGGGTCTCCAGGGTTCACACTTGCAGTAGGAGCGGTGACACCATCAGTAGGACTGATGCTGATCCTGTAGCTGTCTTTGGGGCCAGCTGCTTCTGTCCAGGTGACCCTGATGCTGTTTTCTGTTACTTCAGCAATGGTGATCGGGCCAGGCTGGGCTACAGCTGGAGGCATTGTAATGATGGAATCAGTAACATTTCAGCATCATTAAAACTTGAGTGGCACTGTCTGATATCGAAAGAATAATTCAGCTGTAAAAATCATACGGCATCTATGAATCTAGCCATGTACAATACAGGGTACTCACTTGTCCTCTGTGTCTTTGTTCTTGCCACACTGCACTCCCCACCACTGACAGTTACAACACTGACGGTGTACTCAGTCCCTGCTGTCAGGCCAGTGAAGGTGTGTTTCAGTGGGTCTCCAGGGTTCACACTTGCACTAGGAGCGGTGACACCATCAGTAGGAGTGATGCTGATCCTGTAGCTGTCTTTGGTGCCAGCTGCCTCTGTCCAGGTGATCCTGATGCTGTTTTCTGTCACTTCTGCAATGGTGATCGGGCCAGGCTGGGCTACAGCTGGAGGCATTGTAATGATGGAATCAGTAACATTTCAGCATCATTAAAACTTGAGTGGCACTGTCTGATACAAAAGAATAATTCAGCTGTAAAAGTCATACAGCATCTATGAATCTAGCCATGTTTATTTTATTTATTGAAATTGCAACAGTGCAATATACACGGAACAGAGGCAGCTGTTGCTGGTGTTGTGTCCCGCACATAGAAACGAATACTGGACAGACAATGTAGTGGGGGTACTCACTTGTCCTCTGTGTCTTTGTTCTTGCCACACTGCTCACCCCACAACTGACAGTTACAACACTGACGGTGTACTCAGTTCCAGCTGTCAGGCTAGTCAAGGTGTGTTCCAGTGGGTCTCCAGGGTTCACACTTGCAGTAGGAGCGATGACACCATCAGTAGGAGTGATGCTGATCCTGTAGCTGTCTTTGTTGCCAGCTGCTTCTGTCCAGGTGACCCTGATGCTGTTTTCTGTCACTTCTGCAATGGTGATCGGGCCAGGCTGGGCTACAGCTGGAGGCATTGTAATGATGGAATCAGTAACATTTCAGCATCATTAAAACTTGAGTGGCACTGTCTGATATCAAAAGAATAATTCAGCTGTAAAAGTCATACAGCATCTATGAATCTAGCCATGTTTATTTTATTTATTGAAATTGCAACAGTGCAATATACACGGAACAGAGGCAGCTGTTGCTGGTGTTGTGTCCCGCACATAGAAACGAATACTGGACAGACAATGTAGTGGGGGTACTCACTTGTCCTCTGTGTCTTTGTTCTTGCCACACTGCTCACCCCACAACTGACAGTTACAACACTGACGGTGTACTCAGTTCCAGCTGTCAGGCTAGTCAAGGTGTGTTCCAGTGGGTCTCCAGGGTTCACACTTGCAGTAGGAGCGGTGACACCATCAGTAGGAGTGATGCTGATCCTGTAGCTGTCTTTGGTGCCAGCTGCCTCTGTCCAGGTGATCCTGATGCTGTTTTCTGTCACTTCTGCAATGGTGATCGGGCCAGGCTGGGCTACAGCTGGAGGCATTGTAATGATGGAATCAGTAACATTTCAGCATCATTAAAACTTGAGTGGCACTGTCTGATATCAAAAGAATAATTCAGCTGTAAAAGTCATACAGCATCTATGAATCTAGCCATGTTTATTTTATTTATTGAAATTGCAACAGTGCAATATACACGGAACAGAGGCAGCTGTTGCTGGTGTTGTGTCCCGCACATAGAAACGAATACTGGACAGACAATGTAGTGGGGGTACTCACTTGTCCTCTGTGTCTTTGTTCTTGCCACACTGCTCACCCCACAACTGACAGTTACAACACTGACGGTGTACTCAGTTCCAGCTGTCAGGCTAGTCAAGGTGTGTTCCAGTGGGTCTCCAGGGTTCACACTTGCAGTAGGAGCGATGACACCATCAGTAGGAGTGATGCTGATCCTGTAGCTGTCTTTGTTGCCAGCTGCTTCTGTCCAGGTGACCCTGATGCTGTTTTCTGTCACTTCTGCAATGGTGATGGGGCCAGGATGGGCTACAGCTGCAAACAATGTATGAGAGGACAGTTACTATATGTTTTCACGTTTCCCATTGCCTACTGAGAGATGCAGGAGGCAACGGGCAAGCACAATGCATTGTCTCTCACTCTAAATATATCTTCATCTTACACAGGCGTTTTAGTATCGTAAAACAGAATTGGTTCAAGGGTAACATCAAGCTAGAGATGTTATTGGGGAAACCTCCATTTTAAGCAACTAAACGCAACGGCGTTAAACATCTCAGAAAATCGTCCAATCAATCAATCAATCAATCTTTATTCAAACAACTGGCAGAGGATAGTCTGAATTGAGTTGTTCTTACAGACAACATCAGTTCATAAAATTATCCGTTCAAACTAAACTAATGGTTGAAAAATTACATAATTGCATGGACATGTTATTGAGAATCTGAATCTCTTATAATAAGAAAAGGTAAATGCACCTTCTAAACTCTCTGCAGTCGCCCGTTCCCCAATGTTGATAAGAGCTTGTTTCAGAACCTGTAGAGTTGCCCCCCTTCCCTCCCTGTTTCTCCATCTGTTCAGCACTTCTCTGCACCTGTGGTCTTGATCTGGCTTCAATGTCTCATCTGTCCTGATTCCTTTTATTTCGTTCTCGTTGAACCCTAACTTCCGGGCCAGGTCATCCCACTTGTAGCTGACGCCATTGATGACTTTGTCGAAATATTTCTCCACATCAACTGTAACGTTTAAGGGCATTTCATGATGACATGAATATAACCAGTATTATGTATGAAGTATGATACTTTAGTGGGTTTTTCTTCCATTGCTTAGTCATTTTAAATATGTCACAAGTTTAACTAGTCCTATCAGGGAATGTAGCAGATTTATAGAATTCCTTCATTAATCATGCAAATTAGGTCCTGATTTGCATAAATGTCATTTGTCATGAACTTCTATATAGTGTAGCATAGCTAGTAAGGTATTGAACAGGCTTGGCACATAAAATGTGGCCTTTTTATCATCAGAATGGTTCATTCTTACCAGGTTGACTGCCTTGTTGGTTGTCAGCCATTATTAAGACTACCCTTACTACATGTACTTCATAGTGATGGTAGAAGAGTAAAACAATAAAGAAGATATTTAATATGGTAAGAAGTTTAAAGTCTTCCCTACCTGAAGTTGTCTTGTGCACAACATTTGAAACCTTATGCATTATGCATAACCCTTAGAGCAATTTTGCGTAATTTTGCGTGCGTAGATTACTAGTAATCATTAATGGCTGCTACATATTTCTTATATCATTTTTATGTATAGTTTGTGTAGTATGTAATATCTGCCCAACTTGGTTTAAGGTTGCTGAGATATAGAAGGTCAGTCCCAAATCAAACTGACTACAAGTATAAGACATAGTATTTTACCATTCAGGGTTCTCTCACCTGACTGTCTAGGAGTTGCTTTCTTCTTCACTGGAAGCTGCTTTTTCCTCTTTCTCTTCCTCTTCTGCTGGCTACTAGAGGGTTTGAGTGAACCTGTCTCAGAGAGGTGGATTCACATATCAATAATTATGTCAACTCAGCTTCTGCTATCATGACTGTGTACAATTAGTTCTCAGGACGATCGAGGTTTTATGCTTTAGTATCTAATTTTGTAATATCATTTCCTCATCTCCTTATGTTTGTAACTGACTGATTAAGTTAAAGTTGGAGAATTTGAAAAGGTCATATTGTTTCCTTCTGGTGATTTGATCATGTTTCCATATAGTGACTTGATCATGTGTACAGTTTAAGTTCTCAGGATGAAGGACTATTATTCATGTCCAAACCTTATTCCCATATCTGATGTCTGTAACTCATGTACTAATGAAGTTTCAAGGTGGAGCATATTAACATGAAAAAAAGTATATGTTCCCATCTGGTGACTTTAACTGCAGTGGGCAGTATGTATATATAGTTTATAGATGGCTCCTTCAAAATGACCATGCCTACATTGTTATATCACAATATAACCTCTCACCTTCCTCTGTACAACGTGCCAGTTTCTTCTTCCCTGGAAACTCTTCTCCATCCTCCCCCTTCCTCTTCAGCTGGCTGCTAGAGGCTCGGGGTGAACCTGTCTCAGAGAGGTGGATTTTGTAAAATTTTCGAACCCTATTCCCACATTATGAATACTATTAGTATTATTGAAAACCTGATCAGATTCCAGCTTGAAAACAGGCACATGTCAACATTTCAAGATTTCTAGTAGTAGTAGTGGCATAAATAAATGGCAGTTTTTGGTATAGTATGCATGACTTTTTAAGTTATTAATGTACTTTTAGTTATAAATTATAAATTGATGACAAAATTTGTATAACTGGTCAATTAGTAGTTTTTGTAATTTGACAGAAAATGGAAGTCTTTAGAAGTATTTTTACCTGGTTCCGAGGGATTCCTTGACCCTCCATCAGTGGCTGTCTCCCCGGTAAGAGTTGCACAGCTCTTTCCCTTCTGGACTTCAGCAACATGACCTGCACACAGTACAGTTGGACTTTAGACATTCTGTTGCAGGAAATTATTACCTTTGACAAGAATTTACAGATGAATTGAAAACAGTTTCATTGTGGATATTTTGAAAATTAAATATTTTTTTCTTCAGACAGAAACTGACAGAACAATGCGTATTGAGGAAGTCATACTGAAGCCTTAATCTAGATTTTGTAAAATTGCTACAGCCTTTCTTGTAAATTAGATTTAGAAAGTCTTAACTATTTTTTTGGTACTTTATGCTTTTATACAATTTTCATATCATTTGGGTAGAAAGGGGAAAAAACATCCACTGATGCATTTATGCTAATGAGGACCTTGATTAATTTCATTACACATCAAAACACTGATTTCATTTACAAATGTATCAGTTTGAGACAGGACAGAAACACCTTGTAATGAAACAACAATTTCCCCACCTGCACATCCAAATGCCTGAAGGAGTTGCTGATGAGACTCTTCCCAGTATTTGGACTCCAGGAGTTTCTGCTTGAGTTCTGCAGCCCGACGGAACTCGGCTTCTGACATCCGCAGAACATCCGCAATCTGATCTGCCCAACGTCCGACATCTACAGAATCGTCACCCGTGATTCTGAGAACAGAGTGGCGGAATTCTGGTACGACCTTATGGACCAAGTCCGCCAGTCCTGATTGGTCAGATATGAGGACCGGTACGCCGGCTGCCATGGCCTCCAGACCGACCAGTCCAAAGGGTTCTGCACGGGAGGGCATGAGAACCAGGTGGGCCTGCTGCATGTGTCGGCAGACGTCTTCCTGAGTGCAGTGTGGGAGAAGGGTGGGGATCAGTTTTCCTGAGTTGATGCTGGTTTGGAGAATGCCCATACTGGCCTGATACTCCTCTTTACTGACACCACAAATCCGCAACTTGATTCTGTCCTGACTCCTTTCTACCACTTTTGACAAGACCTTGGCTGCCAAGTCAAAGCCTTTCACCCTCTCATCTGTTGTCACCCTACCAATTAATAGGACAACTTTCTGACTGGTTTTCAGATGCTTAACTGTAGTGTTCAGGAACAAGTCTGATGGTTTGGGCAGGAAGAGGTAGTGAGCTGGCTTCTTGTCTTCAGGAATTGCACAAAATGAGATTGTAAAGTGGTCGTGTGTTCTGTGTCCCACAGAGAACACAGTATCTGCCTTCTCTGCATCTTTTCTGATGGAGTCTTCCTTCTCACCAATGCCCATGGCCTTCTCATCTTCCTTGTACTTCTCTGTGTCTTCAGGTATAGTCTGGGTGACAAGACTGAGGCTTGCTTGGGGGAAACGCTGTTCCTTGATAGTTGCTGCTGCTCTGCTGGTGACCCCAGCATGACCCACAATCCACCCTACATCCGGTGGGAGTCTGTCATTGGGGTAGCGATCCACATGGTCAAAGGTCAGCCAAGCCAGACAGGGTTCCCTTGTGTCTCCCTGACTGCGGGTTGGGAGGATGAGCTCCACTCCATCAGCCTTAGCACACTTTCTGTCCTCCTCTGTATCTTCCAAAACAGTACTGTAAACTTTCCTCCCTGCTCCTGTTAGGGTCTGGGCCACCTGTCGGCTGACGGGGGAACTGCAGTCCTCAGATGTGGCATACTGGCCACTCACCAGGAGAACTGAGCTGGACTCTGCAGTTTCACCTGAGCACCCAGCCACCCCCTGGCCCTCAGCCATGACTCATACAGGTGTCAGCTACATCATTATAGGAACACCTGGAACAGACAGGTGTGTGTCAGGTATGTGTTAACAACACCTGGGACAGACAGGTGTGTGTCAGGTATGTGGTAACAACACCTGGAACAGCCTAACAGGTGTGTGTCAGGTATGTGGTAGCAACACCTGGAACAGACAGGTGTGTGTCAGGTATGTGGTAACAACACCTGGAACAGACAGGTGTGTGTCAGGTATGTGGTAACAACACCTGGGACAGCCTAACACTAGTAACAGGTGTGTGAAACAATATCTTGTAGCTTAAGTATCAATTGATGTACCAGTAATTTCTAACCACATATTATGAAATGGATTTACAGTATACACAAGATATAGTATGCAAATTAGGTTTTGGCCATAGTTTCCATAGTGATGGGGTAAATACCTGAGTTTTTAGTATTTATCATTTATAATCAGGTGGAGATAATTTCTGTTCCAGTATCGTTTAATCTCAGAACAAAAATAACGTTAGTTACGTTACCCGAGCGTGTGAGATGGTCTCATCATATTTAGTAAGTTTTCTTTTGGGGGGGTGGGGGGGCAGGCGCCAAAACTGTCAGTACAGCAGTTCTTTTCAATATTTCAACCTTTTGGTTTCGTCGCTTCCAGTGATTTGAAGGAAAATACAGCTTTGAAGTTGAACTTGAGTTTGCTAGGTTTGAAACTTCACGGGTAACTTTGTTTTTAACTGATTGTTCATCCTAATTTTATACCGCAAATCTAGATACTAGTTAGCAAACAAAGAAAAGTTACGACCGTAAAGTACCGTTAGAACTCAGCAGTTTTGTGTTCTGATCTCTCTTCTCGACACGATATTGCCGCCAAATCACACATATCTGGTGGATCCTGAAACACTGAACAGTCGACAGACGGGATCTGTACTTACTTTCTTCATGGATGTCGCCAGAAAACTTCCTTCAACTTTTTTGAACTCGACTTTCCGGAACTTTTTCCGCCTACCGCCATTTTGTAACTAGGGAGAGTCTATTCGACAATGGGGGTATTTCAAAAGCACACGTATCGAAAAAAAATAGATCATTTAGCAAAGTAAACAAGTATTTGGACGATTATAAAGTACGAAGTAGTATTTGATTTCCATCGTCAGCTCCTAAGCGACGCAATATTAGTTTTAATTGACGTACAATCTGATTTTCACTCCCGTGAGGTGAAGAAAATGGACTGTTCCGTGAAGTTGCCACTTGAGGGTTTTTGGCGGCGCCTCTGGGGCGGTTCCTAAGATGCAGTGTTGGATTCAAGCTACAATATTCCAGTAATTCCCTCTGATTCCTCAGGGAAGTGGGGAATTTCATACGATTCAGGTTTTTGCTGCCTTGTCTAGTTGAAACATTCATGGATAGATCAAAGCAAAATTGTTTGATCTATTTGTAGTTATTTGTTTCTCAAGCTCAACACAATATCAAGCACAACATCAAATACAATATGGATTTATTCTTTATTGCTCATTCTTCAGAATACATTTGGAAATCTGTGGGCACATTTTATTCCACACATCCCAGATTACTTCAGATTGGTACAAAATATACAACAGAAATGAAGTGGGTTCTCTGTGATAATCCACAAAGATTGAATAATATTATAAGAACAAGAAAAGTTTGTACAGGTTTGGTCCATTCGTGATCTTGTTGTGTAACACATAAAACATAATATCACAGTTTCTAGCGGATCGTTCTGATTGATTATAATAAACAGTTGGATATATTATATAGAATAATAATAACTATGAAGAATACTATGAGTAATAAACATCTGCTAGTTTCCTTAAAGAAATTACAACAATGTACAAAGTTACATGTAACGTTACTAGTCATATGACAATGTTCACTATTGCTGAATTAAGCTTCATTGAATTAAAACTTCAAAATTCTTTTTCCTTTCTCATAACAGAACTTGGTATTCAAAACATCACATTGATGGACCCTGGTTGAATGAACCTTGACCTTTGTGACACTAAAGACTGTTATGAACAGTTCATTCACATCAATGGGTAAAAACAAATTCCTGAGAAGCCTAGCTTGACTCTTGACCTAGTTCTACTGTCATTGACCCCTGATCTTTGACCTGACCTCCCTGTACTTCTCCCTGAAGTGGTTTTCTAGCTGCAGGAGTCTCTGGTTGAACTGCTCGGCTGTCGGCAGGTCGATGTCCAGTTTCTCCCTGTCCACGTAGGCCGTCCCCCACACCTTACACCTGCTGGTGTACTTACACAGGGGGTCCAGACTGGAGGGCACCTGTCGGGACAGCCACACCTGGAACAAACACACCTGTTAGCACACCTGTGGTCCCCCACACCTTACACCTGCTGGTGTACTTACACAGGGGGTCCAGACTGGAGGGCACCTGTCGGGACAGCCACACCTGGAACAAACACACCTGTTAGCACACCTGTTGGGACAGCCACATTTAATATGTTAAATATACATTATATCGTTATGAACTAAAATCAGTTTATATCAATGTCTCCAATATGTTAGAATTACTATAAATTATTAATTCCAGTATACTGACCTGAGCTGAGGAAATGTACAGAGCAGGTCGCCATGTTGGGAACTCAGTACAGCTTCAGACAGCTGGCTGTGGTGTCCGCTCCCTCAGGAACTAGCCGCGTAGAGTACCTGTAGGTGGAAAATGGAAAACAGAGTTGCTTAGTTACAACAATTAACACAATATTGTCATTATACCTTTAACAACAGAATATGGGAGTAAAACTACTGACAAGTAGATTCATAAACCATTTGGTGCCATATACTTTTAGGTGTATGGCACAGTTACATGTACATGTAAAACTGGTACATACATTATAGAAGTATGTGTACTAGAACATGGGCATATCTATGGTATTACTATTAGATACATTGATTTATTACAATCTGACTGCAAATACATCTACACAATGTACTACAGTCTTGAATTTACAGAAAAAGTCAAATTACACATATTATTAGAGTCCATTTAAGACACCCTGGAGTACAGCATGCCTGTAGGATAACCAGGATAACTCACACCAGCGTCTCCAGTGTTGGGTGTTCCTCAGCAGCCTGCACCACAGCCTGGAATCCTGCAGGCTCCATGGAGATGTGCTCCAGGTCCAGCTGCTCCAGGGCAGGGAGTATGGGTAGAGCCTCGGCCAGATCCATGGCAGCGGTGTCAGACAGGTGTGTAGGTTTGTCCCAGTGACCAGACATTTGCAGCCTGGTCAGTGCCGGCAGTGTACTGATGACCTGTGCAACCCTCCCCAGTCCGGCTCCTGTTACTCTCCTATTCCACCCGATGTGCAGCTCCTGTAGTGTGGTGTTATAGTGAGGGGCTGTGGTCAGACTCTTGTCACCAGGTGGGTTTTGTTCCATGTCCAAACTGATGGGATGGCAGAGTGTTTGCACCAGTGAGACAATCCCTGAGTCTCCTATGTTATTGAAGCTCACATCCAACACCTGTAATTGCACCAGGTGAGGCAGAGCTTTGATCAGGGATGATATTCCCCTGTCACTGATACCTGTCCAACTGAGAACCAACACCTTCATGGCTGTGAGGTGGTGGAGGATAGCAGCCAGGCATTCCAGCCCGGGGTCTCCTATGGCATTTTCACTAATGTCCAGTTTGATCAGTCTGGTTAACTTACACAGTACAGGGACCAGTGTGCGCATGCCTGTGGGACTGATACCGGTGTTACTCAGGCCCAACACCTGCATGGCAGTGAAGGTGTGGAGGACAGTGGTGAGAGATTCCAGCCCAGTGTCACCAATCTTATTATCACTTATATCCAGTTCTCTCAATCCCACTAGGTGGCGCATGTAGGGAGCCAGGGATGAGATGCCCAAAGCTGTCATGCCAACTCCATAAATTATCCCTCCAAGACGGAGTACAGCCAGGTGTGGAACACTGGACAGCCCAACCTGTAGGACTTCCATCCCAGCATCACCAAGGACAGGGTTCACAGAAAGATACAGCTCCTCTAACAGAGACATGTGTCTGAACCCCTGCACAAGTGGCTGGAGTGATGATGGTGTTAGGTTTGTGCGTGACAGACCCAGTGCCCTCAGACAGGGAACATTCTTCAGAACTGAAACTAGCCTGGCTGTCAGATCAGGTGAGTCAAATGTTACATAGTTCAGTCTTAGGTCTAACTGCAGGCCAGGAACACGCGAGGTGAAAATCTGTTCCAGGTACTGAAGAGCTTCTGATGTATCAACATAAGATGATCCTAGTATCATTCTATCAGGGAGATGTGATGACTGGATGTTTTCCAAGTAATACTGCAGAGCAGCATGTTGTTTACTGTGCTTGTCGAGGTCCAAAATGATAACTGGCAGGGCTCTGCTGACAGCCTGCAGAACACCCAGCTCTTTTCTTTCACTCAGGATATTCAGGCACAGCAACACAAACTTCTTGTACGTTTCAACTGATTTCTTCCCATCTGGCTTTCCAGGTAGATGGGACTTCTGAAAGTCATCTGGTCGTAAATGTGAAAACTTCTTGCTGCTGATCTTGCTTAGTTCCTCCATCACAGCTTGTGCTGCCTGTGAGTCACAGCCACATGTGAACTGAAGCAGGTTACTGAGTTCAAGTGCCTTACTTATGGAGGTGAGCTGCAGCAGCTCAACAATGTCTTGCTTCACTTGAGCATGAGCTACATATCGTCCAGCCAGGAACTCTTGCATGGTCTTGTGTGAAAAGTTCAGCTGTTTCCTAGGATGCAATTTAGAGGAAGAAACCTCCAAGGAGACCACACCCAGCTTTAACAGTAACTCCCAATTAACCTTTTCTCTCTTTACTTCTGTAAGGTCAAGCAGGGTCTCATTCCTCAGCAGTGCCTCTAGCGCAAGCTTGCCGAGCTGCAGTAATGACTCAGCAACCTCTGTAGGCAGCCCTTCTGTTGGCATGTCCACTCCTTCCCGCTTACAGCACTTTCTGACCAGACATGTCAGCAGGTTGTCGTACAGCCCCATCATTGTTCCAGTAGACACCATCGCTTGGTCCTCCTCCCACAGCAGACACACAAACATCAGGAACATTGGTGTATAGATTAAAGTGTTCAAAAGTTCATTACTGTTGACATGTAGAGCAAGTGTCTCTGTCAGTTCTTGCTTCCCAACAACAGTGAAATACTGCTGCATGTATTTCTCCACATGTCTACGGGAGAAGCCCATGATGTGTACATGACAGTCTGGCCAGGTGTACTGCTGCACTCCTGCTGAGGGTCGGGAGGTGATCACAATCGTGCTGTCGGGGTACATCTTGCCAGACAGCAGTTTGGGAATGGCCTGCCCGGCTGCCCTGGCCTCAGGCCGCAGCTCATCATACCCATCTAGGAGGAAGAGCACACAGGACTTGTTCCTCTGTAGGATTGTTCTAATGGACTGTGCTTCAATACCTTCAGTTGTTTCATCAACACACTGGTCCCACACCATCTCCTCTATGGTCTCCCCCTCTCTCACCTCCCGGAGTCGGATCAACAGGACGATGTCATGCCGTCTGCCCAGCTCTGTTTTCTGTGAGACGGCATCTAGGGCTTCTTTGGACAGAAATGTTGTCTTCCCCCCTCCAGCTTCACCCTCAATCAGAATGCACCTTGGTGCTGTGGACAGTCCTGTGACATCTGGCTTGAACAAGTCGTCTAATGACTTAAGCTCTTTTCTTCGTTTTCCTGTTAGTGTTTGTATCAACTCTAACTGGGTGAAGATGTCAGTGAGGCTAAGTGTGAAGTTGTCATTCCAGATCAGAGGCTTGAAGTGAGTCAGTTTCAACTCATAGTACTTCTTCACAGACTCCTGGAACAAGTCTGGAATAGAGAGGTCTCTGTTGTTAGACTTCAATCACCAACTTTAGGCCACATGACAGGAGAAAGAGCTCAAAAGGTCAATCAAAATATTGTGACTTGATTTGATTACTAGTACATGGATGACATCCTCTGGGAACCACAAAACTCATGCGAGCGTGCAAATAAAAAAAAAGTTTTGCCCCAAAAAATGTTGCTTTCATTATGAAATATACGTGATCATGAAGGTTGAACAAATGACACAGAGTATGGTACGGTGAAAAACAGTCTCTTAAAATTCATTGCTCCACATTTTTGTCTTTTTCGTTTGATTTTGGCATTCTACGACATTGGTATCATTTCCAAATAATTTTTTTTGCAACTAACGGTATACATTTCCTCATTTTGCAACTGTTTTGTACGATTTACAGTGAGTATGGTTGAAAACTTTTCACTTACACTCACTCATTATCCGTTTTCTTTTCTATTTTTTTTCAATTTTTTTTTTTGGAAACAGCCAAATTTTCATGCGCACGCGGATGTCATACATATAATCATATCAACATGGCCTAAACTTAATAAACGTTTTAAAGACAGTATCAAGGAGAACATCAAGTATGCTGACATACCCCCTAAACAACTCGAGAAGCAAGCACAGGACCGCTGTGGCTGGCGCTCGCTGACCAAGCTTGCGCAGGAGAACTTTGAAAGGACACGTCGTAAAAATATTGTTGAGGCTAGACAGAGACGCAAAGCAGCGGCAGCAGCAGCAGTGACCAGGGAGCAGAGTCCGTTCCAGTTCACCTGCGAGCAGTGCGGAGGACCCTGCAGATCCAGAATTGGACTCCTGAGCCACTTGCGGGTGCACAAAAGATGAGAAGAGGACGCAACGTAGAAGTCATCATCGGCAACGATGGACAACCACGAAACTTAATAAAATACTCAAATTCTATCCTTAGGATAGTCAAAATTAAAGCATGTCATGTAGCGGAGACTATTGCCCTGAATAGAACTGACTGGAGGAGGAGCAAGGGGCCAGTTCCAGCCTGAGCATGTAGGCAGGCAGATTTTGTTTCAATAGATTCACAAAATCCCAAAATACTTCCTGTGCAATAAGAGAGTACTTGTGCCCTGATATTAGTAACTTCTATTTCCAAAGCAAAGAGTTGTTCAGGCTAACAGTATGCTGGGGGACATGTATTAACTATATAGAGGTAAATCGTACATCACAGGGCCTAATGGTAGAGCAAACATAGATGATATTTCCTTTAGTTTCTGACTTGAATTTCAAACCTGTCACTGAAGAAGACTCTGTTCCTGCAGCTCCAACTGGAACTGCCACTGCCAGTGCTGAAAGACAACAGAAAAGGATTATTAAGACGTACTGCTTTTCCTAAACAATCATAAGCTTCGGTTTGAATAAAGTTTTAAATTGTTTCTCCATGTACCGGTATCAAACTTAGGGGAATCACAGACCGTAAGATTTGGGAATCTGTCAAAAGTGGAAGTTCAAAGTGATTCATATTGAAAAATGATGATATGAAAGATTCAAGTCAATTGACATATAAAAACTTAGTAATGCTATAGTGTTGTAATGGATAGAAAAGGGAACTATAAAATCATTATCAGGAAAAAACAGTTACTCAAACAACTGAAAATGACTTTGGAAACGGTTTTCATAGGTTTAGAATAAAAACACTTCTTACCTTCAAGACCATCCACAACACTCTGTAAGTTTGCCTCAGACAGAGCCTCCATCAGGACCTCTATGGTGGCTCTCTCTCCGTTACCCTTCAGCCATTCCTCCAACAGGTCCATACAGCGAGACTTGTCATCCCGGTTTCTCCCTTCGATGTTGTCGATGTCTGGTTGTTCAAACCCAAGATGGAAGGCCAGGTCCTTCCAGTCTGAGCTCACCTTTTCTTTGGTGTAATAGAAGTACCTACGAACACCTGGAAAGTAATGAAAAGAGGTTACTGATCTTGTTTACTTAACTCTCCAGAGATACCATTTCGATTACCTACTGGTAACTAAGTGCCTACACTGTACAGCTACATTATACCATATTCAAAGGCAGTGCAACAAAATCTTACATAACTGAAAAGACTTCCAATTCTTAGGATGTGACTTCACATGTAATGTTTTACCAACACTTATCTCTTTACTCACACACTTATCTTTATACAGAACTCTATACTATATAACTTCTCACCTTCCTCTCTACAAGTAGCTGGTTTCTTCTTCCCTGGAAACTCTTCTCCATCCTCCCCCTTCCTCTTCAGCTGGCTGCTACAGGCTCGGGGTGAACCTGTCTCAGAGAGGTGGATTCAGGTATCAGTAATGATGTGAACTCAGCTTCTGCAGTCATGGGCACTGCTATCATGATGTGCACAATTATTTATCAGGATGAGAGGTTATGCTATCTTAACTGGCACCTGTATTTTACCTTCAGAACATTGTGATTTTTCTCACCTGCAGTTTCACCTGAGTGCCCAGCCGCCCCCTGGCCCTCAGCCATGACTCACACAGGTGTCAGCTACATCATTATAGGAACACCTGGAACAGACAGGTGTGTGTCAGGTATGTGGTAACAACACCTGGAACAAACAGGTGTGTGTCAGGTATGTGGTAACAACACCTGGAACAGACAGGTGTGTGTCAGGTATGTGGTAACAACACCTGGAACAGACAGGTGTGTGTCAGGTATGTGGTAACAACACCTGGAACAGACAGGTGTGTGTCAGGTATGTGGTAACAACACCTGGAACAGACAGGTGTGTGTCAGGTATGTGGTAACAACACCTGGAACAGACAGGTGTGTGTCAGGTATGTGGTAACAACACCTGGAACAGACAGGTGTGTGTCTGACATATGTGGTAACAACACCTGGAACAGACAGGTGTGTGTCTGACGTATGTGGTAACAACACCTGGAACAGACAGGTGTGTGTCAGGTATGTGGTATCCCCAGTTCCAGGAACTACAGCCTCATTAGTCACAAGTTACACTAGGGAGGTGTACTTACAATTCTGTAAACAAGGTCCTGATTTACATACTATTCACCTCCTCTGCACAAGGTTGTCACATTAGTAACATCTACATACAAGCAGACCTGGAAACAACCTGCTTTTCTCAAATAATTATTTATGCCAAATATGGTAATTATTTGTTTCCAACTAACAGTTATGTTTACAAATATGTTTGCCATGTATGATGACATTGTACATTAACTTTACAAAATGTATTTGGGTATCATGGCTGTTACACACAGTGTGTGAATGAACAAACATGATGTTTGACACTTTAGGGATGAATTACACATTTCAAATAATAGAATATTGTTTCAGCTATATACGAATAGTGGGAAAATATTCAACATCACACAGAAAAAGCAGCTCGGTCAAATCGTGCGTACGTAATGCCCCCCTCCCACCCACGCACAGCGTGCAATTTCCGCACGCCCAGAAAATGTATTGCTAAACCCAGGACACTAAAACTCGCATAAAATGAAACAAAAGCTACACATTAAAGACAACAGGGAACCATAATTCATTACTACAGTTGTGCATTTTTTAAATTAGGGGGAAAGTGGTAAAATTTCAGACTTCTTTTTGACGTTTTCTGTTTAAAACCTCATAACTACCATCTAGAGCATAGGACAAGAATTGCACAATCAGAGTCGCGAATGTTGACCTTTGTGATCTTTGTCCTTTTACCTGAAATCTTTTCCAGAACCCGTATGGAACACGAAGTCCTTCGGCTTTTGAGTTGAAAACAATTTTACTAGCTCTTATGCATCAGAGCTAGTAAATTTCCTGGTGAGAGGTGAAACTCACTCACTCACTCACTCACTCACACTCACTCACCCACTCTCATTCACTCACTCACTCTCTCACGCACTCACTCACACCCACTCACTCACCCACTCACTCACCCACTCTCACACTCACTCACTCACACTCACTCATATTCACTCACTCACACTCTCACCCACTCACTCACTCACACCAACTCACACTCACTCACTCACTCACCCACTCACTCACTCTCACTCACCCACTCTCATTCACTCTCACTCTCTCACGCACTCACTCACACCCACTCACTCACCCACTCACTCACCCACTCTCACTCACTCACACTCACTCATATTCACTCACTCACACTCTCACCTACTCACACTCACTCACACCAACTCACACTCACTCACTCGCACTCACTCACTCACCCACTCACTCACACTCACTCACTCTCACTCACTCACTCACTCACTCACTCACTCACTCACCCACTCACTCACACTTACTCTCACTCACTCACTCACTCACTCACTCACTCACTCACTCACTCACTCAACCGGTCCAAAAACAGTAATTTAAAAGTTTTTACAGAGGATGATTTAGAAATCATCACTATAATTATAGTTATAATATTGCTTTGTTCCAACACAAGAAGCTAAGTAGCCTGGTTTTCATACCTACGGGGATGGGCTCTGGAATGTTCGGCCGGCCAGAGGTTGTTTCCCCCAATAGTAATTTAGCTGCGGTTTCTTAGTTTCCTCCAAATTTATGGTGACTTCCCTTCTTGTGTTGAAACAAAGCTTGAACTCTACAACTATAGATTCTAACAACACAGCAGTAGAAATCTTGTTTGATTACATACATGTACTCGAGGAAAGGGTTGAGTAGCTCCTTTCTAGGTGGGAAGTATAGGGAACTCCTTTCTAGGTCACCAGGGAAGTATAGGGAACCAGTGGTGCAACAGGAGTAGCCGTGTCTCTCCCCCGTACCACCCAGGCACGGTCAGTCTTCTCCCCACCCCCCACACAGGAACACACACAGGTGAGGTAGAACTGGAAGAGAGGATTTCCATTGTCAAAAAACATTCCAAACTTTTCATCTGTGTTTTTCTTTACCACAAAAAATGAACAGGGTGCTTCAACTCTAATTACAACAGTAGCTGATTATTTCAGTTACAACCATTTCAGCAAAACAAAGGGGGCCTTCAAGTAGGGTGTTTTGAACAGGAAAGTTTGTGCTAACAAGATAGAATTTTCTTCTTCAATGCGGCTTCTCCACAGCTACATTAATTCAACACAGCTTATAGGAGCCGGAGGCGACCATGGCATCCACCACCCCTGAATTTGCAGTAAATCTGTTACACAACAAATGTTACTGGGCCCAAAATTTAAAGCACTTCCTTCTCGGTGGAGACCAGCATTGATTGCACACACTGACTCTTACTAGTCTTAGTTAGAATGCCAGGAATTTGGTTCCAACAGAAAAAGTTCTTCAATTAAAAACTACAGCTTATTAAGAAAGGACACACTAGAATTCTTCATATGCTACCTTTTAGGTGGAAGATTACTGTTACTCAACTTGAACTCTAAAACTTTCAAACTGTACTATGTACTGAAAGAGTAACCTACGGTCAAGGCTACTCTCTCACTTAGTTCCTGATTATTAAGCATAACCCAAGGTTTAGTAGTGGGTGTCACTTAGAACATCTCAACCTAGTTATTTAGCTTACAGAACAAGATATTCTCCACACTGATCAGAGTAAAGGGCACAGGCTGTGTGAGTACAGCTTACACAGATTTAATGTGCTGGAAAATCATGTCTGCCCTTTTCAACAAGCACAATGCGCACTACATGACATAATCATTTCCTTGCAGCCAGCTAGTCAGGGACAAGAGGACAGGATTCAAACCCTTGTCCCCCCTGTCCAGAAGAATTGCTAACCGCTACAGCATACTAAATATAGAGTTATGAAAATCTGACAGACCTTTTTCCGAAGTCTTCGTTGGGACAGTCGTGGGTTCTGTACTAATTTAATTAGTGGCTGCTGCTCAGAATGTCTACGCCCAGAAAGTTGTCCAACAACCTCGACTCTCGCTGATCAAGTATGCAAATCTCACCACCTATATGTCTGTAGCCTGAATTTTACCGTGTGTAAAGTAAACTTGATAGTAAGAACTATCTAACATTGTTTGGAAGCTTACAAACAACAAAAATCTTAATTTTTGACAAAAGAAGAAAAAATAACCCTAATATTTTTATCCTGTTTTTCCCGGTTT